TAGATCGGCGTCCCAAAGGATTCGGTCAGTAACCTCCCTTGTCCAGCAGTTCACGATATCGCATAAAGTGTTTGGCCCACCAGATCTTCGATTTCTTGGCGTGAGCAACAGCATCCCTAATATTCGTTCGTTGCCGGAGCTCGGAACTCTGAGTTCCCCTCTGCACTCGCGTGTGAAGAGGGATTCCCAGCATCATCCTTCCACGACGTGTTGAATGACGCTGACTGTATGTTCATCCTCCTTCTTCACGGTCCAAGTCTCCGAGGGAAACGTCAAAACAGGAAGGATCGCAGTGTCGAAAGGAGTGGATATTCTTTGTCTTCTTGACTACTACCTCGATTTTAAATGTTCCTTATGTCGCGCGTTTCCTTCTGTTCACCTCCGGTGCTCGATCTTCATCATGTTGACTTTTTTACCTTGATAAACGAGCCACAGCATTCAAGAATATTCGTTCAGTTGAAAGGCAGTATTAGGTACCAATCCGATCCCATGAACGTCATCTTTGTTGAATTCATTGTCGCACAGATCTTTCCACAAGCCTTGTCGACAGCGCTAATAGGTCAACTTCAAAATACGGTTCGACCGAGCGCATCCGCAATCATAAGAGAAAGTTTATTCACTATACTGCTTACCATTCTTTTTGTTGATGTAAACACTTTTGAGAACGATACTACCTTCCTTGTTCATTGCCTGAAAATATTTGACCGCTTAGCCTTATCAAACGTTTTCATTCGGCCAGTCAGCCGGTTGCATCTGAAAGCGCCAAGATACTCCTTGATATTTCTTTTTGACTCTTTGCATGACTTTTTCGGCTTCTTCGTTTGTGACTGGTTCAAGTCGAGTCCGACTGCAGGCCCATCTCAACATCCTTAATTCTGCTGAATAGGGTAATCTTTTACTAATTTTCGTAAGAACCAACCCTGGCTATCGTAAATGGATCATCGTGAGTATTGCAATCCTTTGAGCCTCCAGGAGCACCGCTAGTCGCAAAGGCTCGCTCCACTTTACCATCAATGGCCAGGTCACTCCCCTGATATCGGAATTCTTATATCCATCCGATGGCTTCCCCAAAACCGTTTGCGATTGACTCCGGCACAACCAGGAGGTGAATGGTGCTGCCCTTCTGGGCCCAAAAGGGAATCTCAGGAATCTGTAACTTTACCCTGTGTACGTGGCCGAGGTTCAACTGGAGGATGTGCATACCGCTCTATACACTACCAGTCGGATCGCCCAGCTAACGCCGGGCTCTCCTCCTTCTTATGAAATGCCCGGCTACGCCGGGCATCTTCCTTTTCATATAAAGTCGGATCGTCTGACTAACGCCAGGGTATCCTCCTTACTGTGTCAAATACCTCATTGCGAGAAATGTTGAACTGAAGAATTTTTTTCCTTTTTTAAAGTTAATAGATTTTAAGTTTTTTCTGCTGTTCAGCTGAATTTAAGTTTTTCCGGTGTTCAGCTGAGTTAGAGTATGAAACTGAAACAGAGCTCGAAATAGATTATGTCGTCGTAGCATATCACATAGTCGCCCGGGCTTCCCTCCTTCTTTGACAAAGTTGCAGTAAGTCGGCTAACTCTCCACTCCTTTTCTGTTTCCTGTACACGAAATTTGACATAGAACTAACAGGGCAGTACAAATGGTATTAAGTGAAAGTTGTTGTTTACGCCTTTAATTGAAAGAGTCGATCTTCTACTCTCTTCCTCAAGAAGAAATACCTACAAAAATTCAACTGTTAGATTACCAAAGATGATGCTGTAGAGATGTGCTTAGTGATGATATCAGCATTATCAGATGTCTTTATCAATGGATCTTTCTTTACGGAGATTTCATTAGTTGAGAATTCCAGATTACTGGCGGTCGATTACGTTTTGTTGCAAATGATATCGAACAATGAGGGTCCTTCGTTATGNCACACCCACAAACACACCGACGAACCTAGGAGTGTTCTGAAAACGCATGTTTGATGTGCGTACCGTTCCGAAATTTTCGCTAAAACTCAACCGATGCAGCCTCTTCAAATTCTCAATTCTGCGGAGAGTGTCAGTTCCTCACCTCACCACACCACATAAATTAGCTGGGGCCAGGGATGCCTCCACTTCTGTAAGAATCCGATTTCCTCTGGCGAGTTGTGCGTTGATGGTCGTTAGGGATACTCACGTCAAGCATACCTACTGGAAACTTCGGATCAACTGAAGAACTGATAGCCCTTTCAGCCACTCTACCCAAATGCTCTTTCTAGGAGCATCTTCAATCAACGCAATCAGTTCTGTGAGAACCAATCCTTCCGAAGGGGAATGATTTTTTTCTCCTTTCTTTTTCGCCTCGCACTGAAGGGATTTCACTGTGGGTTGTTAGACAGGATTAGAAGAGTAGAGAAAGACGAAAGAATGGATTGAACAAATTTCAAATTCTTCATAGGAAAACATAGTATCATGCCAGTATCGATCGAAGTCATATTGTCGAAGCATCCGCCCCTTAACCTATCCACCAACTTACTGCTTCCTATACATAAGGAAGAAAATGTGGGATGAGCTCGAAGTCACGGTGTTGGAGCTTCTGCTCTCCAAGCACTCCATTCACCTACCCACCAATTCACTGCTTCACCAAAAGAAGAAAGTGTAGGATAGGTCTATCGTAATCACACTTCTCGGACGGACAGACATACAAACCGAAAACCGACAAACCTACAAACCGACACACCAAGTTACTGCTTTATAAATAAGAAGGATACTTACTACACATACTCTCCAATTGAATTTCTGCCAGGCCACTCTCTGAAAAACGTTTCTGATCTTACTCGTTCACGTTCATATGGTGTAACAGAGAAGGCTAGGACGTATTCATGTAGCCGAATTGCAAGCACTTGAGTAGGACGATTCCATTCTTTTTTGGAAAACTTTGTTCCAGGTTTCTACTATTGCATATTGTGCCAGTAATTAATTAGTCTCCAATTAGAAATCTCGCTACCTTGCGAAACGATACTATTGCTTCAACGGTGAATTGTGCCACAAGGTGATAAGGACAGGTTCACGTGCCGGTATCACCAAAAACAAGCAACCACACTTCGAATACTCCACAAATTATTGGCGCACGGCGCAATCATTTCAAACTTCAGGTATTGAACGATAATACATGCCTGATCAAAGACACTTATCCAGCAAACCAAAAAGTACCAATAGTAATAATTTTTGATAGAGATAAACTCTAAAATCTCAGACAATGAGGCACAAGAAGTGATGAGAGTGAGAATTCCGGGAAGGCTCAGTATCGAAGAATCAAACGTGAAGAACTCAAACTACCTCTAGAGCATCGTGCAGAACAAGGGGGAACAGAGACGCATGATTGAGACGCATCTGTCCAAGGTTTTAAGGGGAACCGGTGGCTCATGAGGGGTATTGCTGAGGTAGCATGAAATGTCTTATTTTCCTTCCGTATCCATACGTTTCTGCTCTAGGGAATATAGGGTGGCGACAAGCTCAGCTTGATGCTCCCATCTCTTGAAGCGTTGCATCTTCCCATCTATCTTATGAATCATGATGAATGAAATAATGGATGCTGTAGATGCGTGAAAGTCGCGATATAGTCGCTCTAAACAAATTTTATTCCAGGAACTGATTGGAATATAGCGAGCTCCCACCTTGGCTTCAGTGTTTGGTGTTTTCCCTTACTTACCTTTTAACCTACTTCTGTTGCGACAAATTCCTTCGAGTTCCTCCATTCCTTGAATTGGATTCATTTCATTCGTCCCTGTGTCTCGTGCCGTAATTCAAACCTTCAGTGATGTCCTTATTTCAGAGCCCCATTCCAATGCGAACAGACCGTGAAGCTGTGGCCAGCAGTCTTCGGCGATTGGCGTTCGTCTCCGCGTCAATCGCCATGTCGACCGTCGTTCTTCTTGGAATCATGGTCCCTCTGCTAATTCATTCCGCACTTCGAGCTCAGGTATCGCTTGGAGTATATCACAAATTCTATCGAGTCGCCAGCAATTTCTTTTCATTCAGATAAATTCTGATCGCATTTTTGAACCGTGCTATTCGTCCGGTACGACCACATGGCAACTCTTACGTGAGGTACAGTTCATTACTTTGAGCGAGACTGTGCAGCTAGCTGATCTAGCTCTAGCTAGATCCGTTTTCACTCTCCTGCTCTTATTCAGGATCTACTATCCCCTGAAAGGGTTACCGGGAGAATTTAAGATTTTCTTCGATCACGTTACAGTCTTCTTCTCGGTATCGCTCTCTTTAGAACAACGAAGACAGGCTTACTGGACTATTTGCATGAAGCGCTTTATTTGGCATACACTTCGGTAGTCGATAGAATCTTTTGGCTTCATTCTATACCGTTTCTGGGTTCAGAATGATAGGAATATTTGACACGTACAATGAGGCGCAGTAGTTAGCCGATGTATAAGTCAATGCTTTAATCCTTTAAAAGTTAGACGAGTATGTTGCCACCTAATCGCTGCGTTGGCGATGTCCTGGGCGAGTATAGTCCGGAATTCTATCCATGCATGTGTTGTAATGCGCCATTTTACCCTACGCCACCTCCCTATTTACGTACACAATTGTATTATATAACTTTAACTTTCATTTATGCCACAAATATCAGTATATTTTTTTGTTTGTTTATATTGGACATATATGGAAATACTCACTTATACTGTGCTCAATGCTTAATAATTAATGATTATATCTTAATTTCAAGCTCAATGTATCGCCTTCATTGAGAGAGAAGCGTGATAACAGCCGCAGAAGCGTCGCTAGTGGAGTGAAGCTCGAATATGGTGAGCTTTCCGATCCCGAAGGGGGAAAGTGGAAAAACTATTAATTTGTCATTCGCTTTCAATTATAGGCGGGCCTTATGCAGGGACCGCGATGGGATGCGTTCGGCAATTTGGTCCACCTGGGCCTCCCGGCAGACCAGGAGTGGATGGGATTGATGGTATGGACGGCGCCAGTGGTGCTCCTGGTCTTCCAGGAAAGGATGGTAAGGTAGTTTCATGAGATGCAAAGGATATTAGAGAACTGTTGTCTGTGTAGGAATTCCCGAAGACAAACGCGAGCCCTGCTGGATTTGTCAAAAAGCTCAACAAGGGCCGCCAGGGCCACCAGGGAATAAAGGGCGTCCGGGACTCCCGGGCTTTCCTGGAGAGCACGGCTATTCGCCAGTTGGTGTACCAGGACCTCCAGGAGATCAAGGTACTAAACGGTATTTTTTCTGCTCAAAAGCAACATTATGAAATTGACTCGTTTGCAGGCCTGCCTGGTGTTCAAGGAGCTCCTGGGCCAAAGGGCAACCCGGGCAGTGTAGGATACTCTCAAGAAAGCGTGCTAGTCGGAGAGCCGGGTCCACCTGGTCCACCTGGGCCACCTGGATTCCCGGGAGCGCCAGGTCAGCCAGGACAACCGGGTCCGAAAGGGCCTCCAGGATTCATACCTGGAAATCCGGGTTGGGAAGGATCTCCCGGAACTCCGGGTGCTCCTGGAGAAGAAGGACCCCCTGGGCTACCAGGCGTTGGTCCTATCTGTGATCATTGCCCCGAACCCGTGCTACAGTCTGGTTTCGGGGGTGATTCAAGGCAGAAAGTTGAAGTTGTACCATCCCAGAAGGCACAGGAGGAGGTGCTGAAGAAGGCAATGAGTAACATTCTGAAGAACTAAAACACTTGAGCTTTCTGATCCCCTCGACTTCGGTTTCCACGTTAATATCGCCGTATTTTACATAAGGAAGAGTCGGTGTGAAATGGGCTTCAACAAAAGAGGATGCAGAGAAACAAGGGTCTTCCCATTGACGTCTGCTATTTCTTTTTTGCTCTTTTATGTTTGTGTTTGTATGTGAGCTTGTTTGGAATTCACTACGCTTGCTGGCTCATGTTTTGACAGTATTTATTTGTCTGAGTAGGAGAAGTTTGACATCGGCTCACATCATATGTATTATTGTGGGTGTATGTCATCGTTACATAGTTCACGTGCCTTCATATCTGTGATGAAGTATGCTCACTGCACTGCTCTCGATAAGATACTTTTGCCGATCTCGTTTTGTTCGGTTCTGCATAAAGACTGTGAAATTGGATGCGAAGCACCACGGATTCGCAAACTTAAAGGCATCAACCTTACGTATACATCGTACACCGCTCTATTTCGTTCATTTACATTTATCAGTCAACTGTAAATACTTGTTTCCTGAGTCGTCCACAATTGATCGCAGTAAGTTGCTTCCGGCTCAGGAGTCTACAACTAGATATGGAGTGGAAAGTTCAGAGATATGTATGTAACGTACAAACAGGTTAAAGGCACTGTTCACGGTAAAAATGCCTGGAAGTTATTTCAAAGATGAACATGTGACCCCCTATAGGGTCACAGGTACATCCTCGGAGGGAAACGGCTTTGGAAGGGCGTTATTGGGCCCCAGAACTGGCCAAGCCGAAGTACCCACGCAGAGGGGGACGAATTCTCGAGTCGTTGTAGAGGTTGTCGGCGGTGCTATTTATAAACTGAGGGGCGGCTGCGAAATTCGCTGTGGGACCGCAATACCGTAACCCGCGCTGCACTCATGTGCTTATTTGCGGCTGGCCTAAATTTAAAAGTGAAATGAAAGCCACCAGGAGGAAATGTACAAAAAAGGGAAGGTGTTGGGTGTCAGCTGCAGTTTATAATAATAGGTTATAATCAGTAAGGTTAGGGCGACAAACAGGTATTCAATTTCTGAAAACTTCGCTAGTTTGATGTAGGACTTTCAAAGCAAAAGTCGTGTTGTAGTATAAGCAGTGACAGGCACGCGATGATTACTTCCGGGGTAGCATAACCCACACCCTAGTTGCTTTAGAGGAAGATTCATAATAATTGATAACTCCTAAAAGGAACAAATCTGTCCGCACATGCACAAACGATTTCTCAACTAGGGTGCAATGCCTAAAGTTCCAATTTAACGTGAAGGGTATGGGTACATTCACCCAGAACTGGATGGACACGGCAAACCGCGCGGCGAAATTCGTGATGATTGAAACGGCTTTGGCGCCTATCATCGCGGCACGGATCTCAAGTAGATTGGATGAGTAGGGCCAGCTGATGCTACTTATATGTATATCCCACTTCAAATTTGTGCCCCAAGGATAGGCGCCACAGTCGTTTTAATCACTACGAATTTCGCCGCGTGGTTTGCCGCCTCCATCCAGTTCTGGGTGAATGTTCCGTCCCCCAATGCGAATAGTTTCATCAAAGGAGCTCTTATAACAGACCTGCCTTTAGCTCTATCAGTCGAGTGAAGCGCCTCACCCAACACCTTCCCTTTTCTGTACATTCAAAGGGAGATGTTGGATGCTGTGCTCTCCTTTCCTTTCATCCATTCCCCATCCTGGTGGCTTTCATTTCGCTTTTAAATTTAGGCCAGCTGCAACTAAGCACATGAGCGCGGCGCGGGTTACGGTATTGCGGTTCCACAGCGAATTTCGCAGCCGCCCCTCGGTTTATAAATAGCACCGTTGTCGGCAGGACGTAACGTGAAGAACACGTTGCACGCAAGCGCGCACTGTAGCCAACTGTGTGCATTGGGTATGTGTACGAACGTGCGTCCGAGGATGCGCGCGGCAAATTGCGCGGCGAAGTTCGTAATGGTTTGAACGTGTTCGGCGCCGGTCATTGGGGCTCAAATTTCAAATAGAGTGGATTAGGAGGATCATCCGACCCTACTAGACTACACTACTTCGAGTCGAGTTTGTGCCCTGAAAATTGGCGCCGCAGTCGTACAAATCGTCACGAACTTTGTCGCGCAATTCGCCGCGCGCACCCTCTGACGCACGTTCGTACCGTCCCCCGTGTGCAGTGGCCCACACGCATTTTGACAATTTGTAATGATACCCCTTCCATGCAACTTTTGAGGACCAGATTCTCGTCCAGTCCCTAATTCTGCTACTTTTTTAAGCTTTATATTTCTCTAAATACCCGATTCCACTTTTTCTTCGCCACTTTTTCACTATTCTGGACTATAAGGTCCATTATTCGTCTTGAACTAGATACCTCCTAATTCTCGCGAACTACGCCTTCAAAGTCCACGTTGAATTACGAGCCTGCGGAGGGGGCAACTAGTTCAATTCCAATTCTCCTCTTTCATTGCTAGAAATAACCAGTGATGTGCCGTCCACTCAATTCAGACAGCTGTTGAACATTACTGTTGGGTTATTTAACAAGCACTGGCTTTTTTTATTGGTTTCTCTATTATCCCAAAGCTCGTCCGTTGAGTTACGATGACAGACAAAGTCTTCATCGCAGAGACATCAAAAAAAAAGTGTAGGATGATGAGAAAGGGCAGGATTAAAGATGAATAAAGATAGACATCACATCAATGGCTGATTTCTCGAGAGCTCACTTCACGATAACTGGCCAATGTATGTGCTAGTCAAGAATTATGCAAAAACGCGAAACTGAGTGAAACATGAGGCTTCATAAAAGTATCAAACAGCGGTTGGGCGAGAAAGTGACCATAAAGGGGATGTATGTCATTTGGCGCGGCCCTTCACAGCTTGAGAATAACCATTCAGCTTAGAGAGGAGATTCCACAGGCTGGTGCAAGTCATTCGCTCCATTGACTCTTTGTTATACTAACAATAAGACACCCGCATCTATGAAAGATAGTAAAGCGGTGAATCACGTGTTCTAATTCTACCAGTGTAATCACATGGGAAATCTTACGGCTTGCGGGCTTTACACTCATCTCCTGAAAACTCAAATTTATCTTCCGTAGTGCATAAAGTTTCTCCGCGGATGCATGACAAACTTAACGATCAGACGCGGGATTACGGTACTCTCCTCTTGTACGTGAATGCACGGATTACGCTCGACAATCTCATTGATGTGTTTCATATGACCAACATTTCCTAACTCAATGTCGTTTAAGTGGTATACATCTTTACTCTGTCTTGTGATTCCTCTGCTGGTAGTAGGATTTATGCTGTTGCCACGTCTAATGATGAAGTCTATAGTGATTCCTGAGCGAGTGGTCATAAGCAGAAACGGAAACGTGATTATGCTGCTAGCAGAAAAATGTAACTTCCACACTGAGTACGGTGCTTCATCTCGTGGTATGGTCCTGTCTTAGTAATTATAATTGGAACGGCAAAATTAATAGATGTTTCAGTGGAAATGTGATTGGGCCATTGCGCAGAGAGGAGGAGTGGCCAACCTTAATTGTGCTTAAAGATGTTTTTTAGCCAGGAGGATATTGTTTTCACCTCACTTCTGAAAGTGAGGAGCTCCGGGCTGGGTGCGAAGGTTTTATGTCGTGCAAAAAAGCTGAGATGAGACGGTGCAAAAAAGCTGAGATGAGACAAAAATTGAACATAAAATTGGCTCACCCATTCGGATCTTACCTCCTGCTGGTTGAAAAGTTGCATTTTTACCATAAAAAAAGTTATGAAACCTTCCTAAGCAACATATGGGATGGCAAAGTCGGCTATCCCTCGTTCTCTGTGCTCTAGCGCTCAATGTTTGAGAAGAACGGTGAATCCCATCTACATTTTCACAAGTTGCTGATTCGCTATTTTCATCGTGGCTGATCAGGTTTCATTCAGAGGCCGCCAAGTGCTTTCCAGGTTAACGGAGCAATATTGCCCTCCTTCCCTTCACCCCATCTCATCCACACAAGTTCACAGTACGCCGACGGTAGCCATGCGAGAAATTCCCTCATATGCCGTGTTATAGATTGTGGTAGTGTGCTCGCTGGAAAAGACGGGAAAGGCTTTGCTACTCTCTCAATTCAAAGTCAAATATGCGGGCGGAATAGCGCGAAACAGAAGTCTAATTGTAAGTTGTATGTGCATTCCACGAGGGTTGCATTGCTACCATTGTGAAATCCGAGCCCGGATTTGCTTACTCATGCCTTTCGATCCTATACCACTGGCTTTGGCTGATTTGTTCTTTATAGATACCAATTCTCTGCCCCTTTTAATATCATTGAATGCTGCGAGGTTTCCTTGCAACGTAGCTAGCTGGGAATTTTGTGAATCGTAAGTTTGGCCAAAAACTAACTTCGCAAACATCAAACAGCGACAACCTTCCAGCCGTTTTGGATAGTACTTTTGCAATGAAAGAAACCATTCCTGCTGTTTCTTGCTTAGCCCTAACAGAGATTTCGGTGAATGGATCTTAGCAAATACATAAAGAAAAAGTGTGTTCACAGAGTAGGTCCGCTAGCGAGTATGCGCCCAGATATAATCCAGTGGAGGGTAAAAATTATGCACAAGTTTTGTGTTCGAAAGGCTCCGTCACACATGGATCAGCGATCAATGAATTGGTCACATACTGCAAACTGTACAATTTTGCGTCGTAGCTCCCTCGGGAAAAAACGCGTTTTTTTTTTCATTGACCCTACCTAACAGTTCGTTCCAGGGCATGGGTAGTTCGGTGAGACTCATCGACTTCTGGTAAAATCTGGACCCACTCTCTTTGTGAATTTCTTGTAAACTCTGTCGTCTTCAATTATAGAATTCTGCTCAGACGTTTAAATGGAATAGAACTTATCAATATTTGAGACAATGGACGACGATGCCTCATCAGTGAACGGCCAGGCATCTCCTTCTGGTGATGAATGGTGCTCTGGGTCACCATTTGTGAGTGCGTCATCAAATTATCAAAAAACTACGTCTCCAGGAGAGCAGAGTGATGGAGGCTCACCGCGGGATGTGAACCAGGAGCAGGTTCTGTCCTTAGAAGACAAGAATGCTGCTGCCTCTCCTTCTCATGAGTCCGCGTCAGCGGCATCATCTCCAGCGTATGGAGATCATGGTGATGAGTTAGTGTTCAAACTCCGTTTGTTCTTAATAGATAATGTGTGGGCGATTGCTTGTATATTAATACTACTCACCCAAATTCCAGTTCTGGAGATGAGTTCAATCCTGGTAGCCCTAATCTACCATGTTCGCCCGAAGACGACCGTTCTGAGGAGTTCATGCAGAGAAATTCTAGCTCATCTATTCAAGAAAAAGAACCTTTGAGGATATCACAACTATCATCTCCACAATGTGACGATGCCTCTCATTCGAGCCCACCACAATGCGATGATGACGAAGAGAAAAAAAGGCATGATATCGTTTGTTCGTACTGCTGTTTGAGTGCAATTGTCGTTCTTCATTTGAAGCACCAAAGAAATCGATGCGAAATCAGATGCGGAAGAGAACTCTACTGAAGGGGAACCCAAGGGTACAGTCTCAAGCGATGAAGGTTATTTTTTGCTTCCATCGAAGTTTCTTCTCGCTATTCGTTGTTTAGTACTCCTTTACGCAATGTGTTTAGAAGGAGATAGCGGAGAATCACGGAAAAGGCGTGCCATTGATTCCGATGATAGTGATAATGAAGTTTCTAGTCCTCGGTACGTTAGCGATCACTGTTCTGGTTTCCATAGATGGTTCTCATGTTGTTACTTAAGGAAAAATCTTCTCGATTCTGATGATACTGACGACGACGAAATGGACGAAGAACAACGAAAGAAAAAGGTCTATTTGTTTGTCCTTATCCGTTGCATAGTACTGAAAGGGAGCTCCACTTCATAATTCTTAACCTCACTATTGGAATTTTTTTCATTGAGGATTGCATACATTCCTCCTCCAGTGCAAACTTTCTGTATATCTTGCTTCATTCGGTTACAAACGTAATAGCATTTCCCTCATTGTGCTTTGATTCAGCAGTATTGAGTGGAGTTTGAGAAGAAAGTCCCTTTCCATTTCGTACTCCTGTTGTAATAGTCTAGGCGTCTCGTTGAGTTCCTCAAAACTTCCTATACTGAACACTAGGATAGCGCATTGAGTGTTAAATATCAGCGAATCTTCATCGGCCGAATGTGAAGGGTAAGCGGACGCGGTACAAACTCTATTATTCCAATTCTTGACCTCTTGGAATAATAGAATTAAAAGTCAAAACTCCAGACTCTTCCCAGAGGCGTGGTTTGGTGGTCAGATACCATACACAACTTCGTGTCTCGTTCATCCCATTTTGCACTTTGGGGTAGAACACAGTAGATAATTATGTGGGAAACTTAATCTAGAATTGTGATTGTATAGTAGTAGGATGAGTCAACGCTTTTTTAGTCGTGCTACATCTCTGAAGAAAGGAAGTGCGAGCATACGTGAAGGAAGTTTAGGGCGTAGTCCTCCTACCTTGGCCTTATAGATTATATTCAACCTGCCAAAGCTGTGTCTTCCATATATGTCTTGAGCTCTGTTGGTCCTTACAGTTTTGAAGAACTTGACTAGAAAATCACCAGGCAACTTCAATTAAAAGATAACAAGATCAAATAGTGAACTAGATATGAATGAATAAATTGTAGTGCAAGTTGTCCAAATCGAATTTTAAGACCGAACCAGACCAAACTGCAACTAGGCTTTGGTGGAATTATTACTTATGAATTCATTTATTTTCAGCTTGGCAAACTAATTGTAAATATATTTGGCGAAGATATAGATGAGGATGCGGACGGTGGACGTGAGGGTGGCGGTGATGAGCAGCGCGAGGAGCCACAGGGGGAGGTTAATCAAGATGATGAAGACGACTATGTCCAAGATAGACACAAGCACGATGAAAGAGACAGAGCGTAAGATTATCCAGAAACTTGTTTAATATTGACTATCGCGCCAATGCAAAAGGAAAATGTCGAATACGATAAAAGCAATGTTCTTTCTTCACAATAGTGAGAGCCAGAAAGCTTTCATATCTTCCCATCTTTTTTCCTCCTTCACTAGACTTTGTCACTGATTTTCTTTTGAAAAATTTTGCTGTGAACAATTCTATTGAAATTGGTTCAGACTAATAACAACGGGGGACTAAATTTCCATGGTTCGATACCAAAAGTTCCACCTGCTTGGTGTATGTTACTTATAAAGAACGTCAAGTTTTAAGGGTTTGTTAATCTTGGGCATGAGCCCGCGCACAACATCGCTCTGGCACTATGAAAATAGATCGTTTCTCGGCAACGTCGGTCGTATACCGCCCGACATGTGCCCGATAATTTTCAAGTGTTTAGTGGATTTGAATGGGATTTCGATCTGATGTTACGAGAGAAGAAAGCTGAAAGAAAGAAGAAGAGGAAGCGACGCGATGCAGGAATTGACATAATAAATGATGATGACGGAGTCATCGCGCATATGGTAAACGCAATGAAAAATGCTGCAAAGGTGACAACAACTCTGCTATATTTACTGCATTCATGGGTTTGTGGATGAGACCCTTTTTCAGGACGATAGGCATTCAAACACAGAGCGAAAGCCTGCTCTCAAGAAAAGAAAAATGCTTCATGATGTGAAGATGATGCTTCTCAGGGTGAGTGATGTCCCGCGAATTGTAATATTAGCGATTGACTTGTTAAATGCATATCGTTTTCAATCAATCGGTAGCCTTCTTGCCTTTTCTTTCCCTTTTATAGTTCCCAACTTCAAATGTATTGCTCTGCAGGTACGGCGTGAATAGCTTGCAGAAAGATTGTACATAGACTGGCTTAATTGTGCACATAGTAAAGTAGAAGTAATGGTAACGGCGTAAATAGTTGACGTAAGAATTTAATGCTCTAATTCCCTCAGCTCATTTCTGCTCTTACTCTTCTCACCGAATCCATCGACTGGGAGAAAGAACCATCTCTCCAAATTTCAAACGATCGGAGAGTGTTTGCGTGTTTTTTGAAAGGGTGGCTTTATAGTGCCTGGAGTTCGTAATCACGTGGATAACGACGCAGTACGTTGACAGCCCAGAGTATTGTACTTGCCTACTAGAAAAGATAGGAGACGTGAAGTTTTAGAGGACGACGGCGCATGAAAGAAACGCACGTGTCTGTTGTTTTGTAAGCAATCGATTGTTATAATGCGCGACATAACTAACAAATTCTCAAGTTAATTTAAGTTAATTCAACCAATGGATCGTGTTTTTGGGAGTGTCCTTGCAGCACTTCACTTTCAACTGATCTCGTGCTGGATTTTTTGCGAGGCCCGATCATAAAGGCGACATGGTTGTCGGGAGCGTCGCCATCGGAGGCGTGAGTTAACTGTAATCGTCAGCAGCGGGCCATCTCCCTTGCTCGTGAAACCGGAGAGCGGTAGATCACACAATGTTGCGCTGGTTCTGGATCGCAAATGGTTGACGTGAAAAGTCCACAAAGTCTCGCTAGTGCACCAATTAAATGTTTTTCCAACACGTCGAACAATGACACCGGTCGACCAAGATTGCTTTGGTCCTTTCTAGTCTCTGTCAAAAATGGACTCAAACTATAATAGCTGCGTCGTGTTCGAATCGAACTGTTCCAATTTTGCTGCCACACATTCCTACAGTGTCTCTGCTGCTGACACAATCGAATCGAGCTCATCAGGGCAGGAACCCAGGTCGAAGTGGCCATTTGAAATAAGACCCATACTGCTAGACGTATTTTTGGATGCTGATAACAAATCTGCTTTCCAAATTTGCCCAGCGTTTCTCTGAATGGAGTTATGAGGTGATTTTAGGTGAGGCTAATATAAGAAAACTTAAAGACATGGATTACCACACTCACCAACGGCAGCTTGGAGCAATGGTAAGGGTGATACTTCATATGCGAGAGACTAGGGTTCGGGTTTTGTGGGGATCCAATTTTTGCATTATGTAGGTTTTTTTCCAAAGGGCTAGAAAATACTTTCATGATGATTGTATCACGTTCTATGAAGTGTCGATGTGTATGTCCGACCGGAAATTCATAACTCCTGTTCCCGTTGACCTAGGGCAGCATGGAAACACTTATGGCAGGAGGCAGGACCGGACTCAGCCCACAGGGGCTTGCGCGATTAAATTTTAGGTCGCAAATTCATAAATCCTGTTCCAGTGGACCCATAGCGTTCAAAATTGGTAGGATTACACTTTTCGCACTAGCAGTGGAACTTCAGCATTTTAGTAAGTGATGAAGGATATGAAGGGATCGTCCGTACTCGGTGACAAGAACTGATCATAACTGATAAGAAAAGTTAAGGAACCTAAGAGAGGCCACCTACCGATCGAAATCCTAACGTCTTCGGTATCTACGATGTAGCTTGACCGTTCAGCATGTTTCATTCGATAAGACGGGATGGTAGAGCAGGGTGACCAAAGTGAGTGGTAAATGCAGTGATAGGGACCCAATAGGGCAATACGATAAGCAGATTAAGACTTTGTTCATTTTTTACCATTAGATTACGACCGCTACCCAGCAAGGTTTGTGATTCAATGAAGGGTCCTCTTTGGTTAATATCATTTGGACAAAACTTAACCGACCACCGATAATCTATAATTCTCAACTAATGATATCCCCGTAAAGAAAAGGGTCCAATGATAAAGAACATTTGATAACGGTGCTATCATCACTGAGAACACCGCAATCTTTGATTGTCCAACAGTTGGATTTTTATGGGTATTTATTTCTACAAAAGAGAGCAAAAGTTTTGAGACTTCCAATCAAAGGCGTAAGCTTCGACTTTAACTCAATGCCATTTGCACTGCCCTAGTCCTGTGTCGAATTTCGTATACAGGAAACTGTCATTTGTTTCAAAAAAGAAGTGGAGAGTTAGACTTACGATAACTTCATCAAAGAACTAGGGAATTTTCGGTTTCTGTTGTGTCAAAGAATGATTTCGAGCTGTGTTTCAGTTTCATACTCTAACTCAGCTAAACAGCGGAAAAACTTGAACAAAACTGAACAGTGACAAAAGGCTTAAAAACTATAAACTTTGAAATTTACAATTTAATTTATATGAATACCGGGCAGCTACGCACGCTCTTGCGTGCGCTAGGGGGTCTGGCCATAATTGACGGGACCACACGAGCTTTTGATTTTCATTATAGATCTTCATCATCTGAGCCTCTTTCCTGACACTTCTGTAGCGGCCATCATTTTTTGGGATGTGAAATGGGGCTGTGTCTGGCCATGAAGAGTATTCCGATGCACTTTGAACAGATCCGAATCAAATACCTCGGCAGTCCATATAATCGAAGAAACCCTGTGTAGCTTGGGCTGTGTTTGTAGGGATTTACACCTCTCTACGGGCTATGAATCTGTGTGGCCAGGGTTATTGTAGACTTTATTTTACGCCCGGCCGACTTCTTTACGTCTGGAGCTCCTCCTTTCCGTGTAAAAATACCCTGTCGCCTACATTTCCTCCAAATTTGGATGCTCTGATACAGTTGAACAGGAGGTAATAATTTTGGCCAAGTCCACACACACACCCACATGCATACTGCAAACACTCCGTTTGCACCCCGCCCATCATGAATTTATTTCTGCTTAACTTATCTGAGTCGTTTTAGGAAAGCAGTTGGGCTGCGCACGATATCGTCCAATGGCTTCTCATAAATGAATTCCCTCGAAGATAACCTGAAGCGTAATCGTCTTGGTAACCCAGTTACCACCCTCTTCCAAAAATGGACAACCCCAAATAATAGCGTCATAAGCCGTTTATTGGGAGCGCACATTTCTAGCAAACTGCATTTGGCAACCACTCACATTCTTTTATCTATATACTGACTGAGACAACACAAAAAATCAAAAAAAGACCATCATTAATTTCTTGTTTACCACGTACCATTGTGGAGTGCCTTTATTTCACTGGAGACGAAATGGGAGTTTATTTACACTTTGAAATCTATCCCCACCCGCCGCAGCAGGCATTTGATAGCTATATATCGACGATCTTGAGGCCAATACATTGTTTGATGAAATTTCATGCGAAAATTATGATAGGCAGGTCCATATTTACTATTTTCGCGCAAACACCGCCCCGGTGAGTAGAGTCACCTGCCATTAGTTTCCCCTTTCTGCCGCCTACGTCTCTACCAAAGTTGAACAATCCAGGTTCAAAATTACTGTTTTCGAGGAAGCCCCGCCCCCAGTGGGCGGAGTCTACACCTGTCACCTACCATTATTTTTCGCTTCATGCCGCCTACATCCCTACCAAATTTGAACGCTCCAGGTCCAAATTTAATATTTTTGAGGAAGCCCCGCCCCCAGTGGGCGGAGTCTACACCTGTCCTCTACCATCAGTTTCCTCTTTCTGCCGCCTACATCTCTACCAAATTTGAATACTCTAGGCCCAGGAGAACAGGGGTTACAGAATTCGGTGACGCCCTGCCCCTAGCGGGACACTCCGCCCCTGGTGGGCGGAGCTAGCTCAAGTCACGTGTACCCAAGGAGTCCGGCTCATTCCCCACTTGTTGTAACCTGTCTGAGCTGTTCCAGTTGATTTCCAAACGGCACCATATAAGGTAGTGTTACAGACAAACAGACAAACGTACAAACGAACAAACGGACGTTTGCAGTTTATATATAGTATGGATTGATGAGGAAAAATGATTAAGGCTCCAGCACAAAGCTCTGTCGAGCAGTAGAAAACGAAGCGAGAGATTTCGGACCATACAAGCCAACACCTGATGGTAATGACGAAAACATGTGGTAAGACGACAGAACGCATCCCCTTTGGAGAAAGATATTTCCCTGAGCGAGTCCTGGTCATTAATCCAGAACGTGATGACTTAGACGTAACGTACCGGGGTTGCTGTGCGCACCTGGACGCGTGAATATTGGATCCAACCGCGATCTCGAGCGAGCGAACAAGGGGGACTCAAACAAGGGGACCACCCAGTTTCTCGCATATTCTTCTAACCACAGCTTCGCACGTTAAGCAAAGTCGGTCAAGATGAACTACCGCGTGACTGAAGAATCTCAGAGCTTTGCTTCAGAGTACATGATGAAATACTAAAAATTAGAAAAACAGGATCACTTTTGCCATATAAGCCAAAACTATTCAAAGCCGAGCACGCCTGCACGCCTCCCCTTTACCATCATTCGTCTATCTTCATAACTATCAAACTAATCTGTCGCACGCAAAGGATTCTCCGAAGATATGCCCAAAGATGGTAGAGGATTTTTCGTTCATACAATTTTAGGTAATGAATTGTATCAATTCCGCAGAACTAAAACGCGATCAGTCTGAAGCGGTATACAGGTTCAAGTTTAAAGCCCAAGTTTGCTCAATCTGCAATACCGCTCTGATTTCCAGCGATTGGAAGTGATTGGTGACAAGGACTGATAACTAGCAGGCAGGGGCTGACCAAGGGCCTATAAGGCAGGAGCCACTGGGTTTGCAATCCCCTGCCAACAGTGGAACCTTGCATTTCAGTAGGTGATGAAGGTTTTGAAGTGGTCGCAGGTACTCTGACAGGAACTGCTAACAACTGGACAACAGCTTATAAGGACGAGATTAGACTACGACCGCTACCCAGTAAGGTTTGTGACCCAATGAAGTATCACGGTCTCTTTTTGTTTCGATATCATTTGATATCGAAACAAAAAAATAGAACATATTCGATCGCCAATAATCTGAGACTCCTAATTAATGATAAATGCGCAGAGAAAAAAGTTCCATTGATAACGACATATAATAATGGACGTTATTATCACACGACAACGTTCGTGAGTACCATTCATGATCTGGTTGCCTATCTGTTGGATCTCCGATAGATAATCAGTTTTGAGATGAAAAACTAAAGTCTTGGGGCGTTGAACATTCCCGTCTGAAGGATGCACCCACGCACGCGTTCGACTTCTATTCAGAATCTTAGTGGCGTATTGAATGCATATGCGGCTTATACAGTAGCTTGCGGTGGCCAGCCAATGTTTAAGTCAGTGTTTTCATCCTCCTAGACGAGTCAGGTACCAATTGACCGACCTCGCTGGGATGGAAGGCTTGGTTGGTCTAGGCAGATATCGATCCGGGATTTGAAACCGTGATCGTGCGTGTGTGAAGTGCGCCACGTGCCACCACAGCACCTCTGCTTCTAATCATAGGCGTGAGCATTGACACATACTAATACCTTTTGCGCTGCTCTGTTAGTCCTAATTCAAATTTCATGTTCAGGAAAAATTTATTCTCGAAGGGATGGCGAGTGAGTCGGTCATCACAACTTTGTCGTTAGAAGGAGGAAAGTTCGGCGCTAGCGGGGCGATCCAACTGGTTTATTTATTAACCAGACGGATCTTCCATCCTTCTTTGACGAAGTTGTAGTAATTGGCTTACTCTCCACTCCTTTTTTGACAAGAATAGTTTTCTGTACACGAAGTTTGACACAGGGCTAACAGGGCAGTGTAAATAGTATTCACTGTAAGTCGGTGCTTGCGCCTTTAACTCGATTTCTTAATCTTTTCCCCTTCTTCTCATACCCATTCAAGATTCAACTGTTAGCAACCAAAACCTGGGGTGGGCAGGGGGCGGGGGAGCAGATGTTTCGAGAGGTGATAATATCATTATCAGATGTCGTTATCAATGGACTTTTCCCCTTAGAGGGTACCATTAGTTGAGAATTCCGGATTACTGACAGTCGATTATGTTTTGTCGCAAATGATATCGAACAAAGAGAACTCTCCATTGAGTCACAATCCTTGCTGGGTAGTGGTTGTAAACTAATAGCAGGAAACGATCGAAATTCTCATGTGCGCATCATAGTGCGGCTAATTGGTCTCTATCACTGCCCTTAGCACTCGCTTTTGTTACCCTACGTACCATCCCGTCTTATTGAATGAAACGTATCAAAGAGCCAACGTTTCATCGTGAATACCCAAGATGTTAAGATTTAATTGGTAAGTGGCTCTTACTCTCTAAGGCCCCTAATCAGCTCTTATCAGTTCTTATCAGTTCCTGTCACAGAGTACTATGATCACATCCTACATGACCTATCAAAAGGTTTGCCAATGTTCCATTGTCGACACGAAGGAGATTACAAGCGCCTAGTGGCTCTAGCCTTCTGAGCTCTTCCTCACCCCTTCTCTACAGTCTACAGACTGTTATTAGTCCTTGTCACCAATCAACTTCGGTCCCTTCATATCCCACACCACCTACTAAAGTGCTCCACAGTATGAATGACGTTGTAGATCGAATGGCTCTTTCCTTTTATGACTCGTTATCAGTCTCTAACAGTGGTTATCAATCCTAATTAGTGGACATCGACGGTTCCCTCTCAATTCACACACCTTACTAAAGTGCAAAGGCTCCACCGTTAACACAGACGAGGTAACAGATCCTGCGGCTCTCGCTTTTTAAGGCGCTTTATCAGCCCCTTTCAGTTGCCATCTCCTCTTATCACAGATCACGAGTGTCCCCGTCCTGTCGCCTGCATTTGTACCAGTTTTCAACGCTCTAGTTCCCTTGAAACAGTAGCTTAGTAGGTAGGCTAATGGAGTAGAGTGAATAGTGCGGAGTGAAGTGAGTAATGTGGAGTTGAGCGGGTACTTCAAAGCTGTGATTTCGATCTGTACTAGTATCGTGCTATGTATGTCTATACCACAAGGTAAGTCAATTAAATATTCAATTCGTACCCCATCCTCGCTTTTTGATCGAGGTAATCACCCCAACCCAGGCGCTCCTTCCTTATGAAGCTTAGGATAAATCTACACTCAAGACCTTAGTGTTGGATAAAAGTGATACCCCCTCCCTCCTTAACTACATTTTCTAACTACCTTGTAAAGGTAAGGAATTAGGCCCGGCGTAAGCCGGACGATCCGACTCGTAGTAGGATAATGGACATGCTCTAAGCATGTGGAATGAAGGACAATTACATGACCACTGAAGAAAGAATCGAGAACAAACAACAACATCCTATAATAAACTCAACTAAGTCAAATCAACTTGTCACTAGATTTTTCTTGAAAGTACAATAACTCGAGGGGACGACGACGTAAAAAGTGAGTTGAAGCTTGACCTAATTATTTTACTGAAAAATTGAAAAAAACTATATGCGTATACAACATATATTAGTATAAAAGTATTTATATATAGTATCGCGTTCAAAAATCATTCAAAACCATCGTCGCCGCATGCGGACATTCCTCAGTGTTCTTTATATTTCCTTGAATAACTTTCTAGTTCGTGTTGTTCGGAGCTAAATCCAAATGTGCTATTCAGATGGACATGCTTGAGGCCATGATTGATGGAGGAATGATGAGCGCTGTCTCGGAATGGTTGGCTCCACTACCGGATAAAAGTTTGCCTGCTCTCGAAATAAGAACGGAGCTGCTGAAAATTTTGTCTGGCTTCGGCAATTTGGATCAGGTAGGAATGAATCATCATTGAAGTTCCTCGAGTTCTTCCTTGAATTCCAGTACCTTTCTCTGGTATAGATCTACAAAGAGCCGCATAACACACAGTAATTTCTAAGAGGATTATGGTTTCTTACCTTTTGGGGCTCGCACTTGAAACTGCACCCCTGATGTGAATGCTTTCGTTGCAAGAACTAGAGCAGGCGTTATCATAACGAGAAGTTCACTCATTCTAAGTTTTCTCTTAGCTGTCTCTGCTTACGATCTATTCCTGTCTTTTTTTCGGCTACTCACCGCAAAACGCTGAAAACCGGCGTGCAAAAAAAATCATTCCTTATTCTTATTCCTTTATAATTCATTATAATCACAATGCTCGCTTTCTAGGGTGTTCTTAAGCAGTCGGGTCTTGGAAGAGCTGTGATGCTACTGTATAAACACCCTCGAGAGACTAAGGAAAACAAAGCACTGGCGGCACAGATAATCAGAGAATGGTCAAGGCCAATTTTTCAGGTGAGCAATTTTTTATAATACAGTTTTGTCCGGTTTTGCGGCTTGTGATTAATGAGGTCAGATGACTATCGGAATTTAGTTAGATACCGACTTCCGCTCTGTGTCTCGAGAAGAAAGAGTTCAAAGAGATTTGGATCACATGTCTAGTGTGAAGAAGAAGAGAATGAGGTGAATTATGGTCTGACTTCCATTGTACATCACTCATAGATTCCTTCGGACCCTGTATTTCAATTGTGGTTCTATTTTTTGTAGCAATACTATCCGAATATTTTCTGAGAATATTTAGCGGAGAAGCAGGTCCTTCTGAAACCGTTGTGCCGAAAACCACTGAACGGGAAATCAACAGAGCTCGTGTACCTCGCCCTTCCACGAAGGATTACGTCGTGAGGCCAAAGTCCAATGTGGAAGGGGAGTTTAAGGTGAGGCTTTAGTTGATGTTCTTAAGAGGAACTCAAAACATAATGAGCTTTGTTAAGGGTGAACGAAAAACTAAAGCATTTGCTCGTCTCGATAAAACACATCGTGAATTCTTGGAGAGGACTAGAAAACTGAAAGCTAAACGGGCTATAGGCGTGTCTCTCGAGGGAAGGAATATGGCACTGTGATTTCCCTTGGATTGTGAAACACTGCGGTATCAGGTTGAGTGTATTCATTTTATTACTTTTTTCACGCAAGCCTCCTCTCACCGTATTTATTGTAAGTGTTGTTAACATTCGATAGATAGTGAAGTTTTACTGCAATTTAGTTATCTGCACTTTAAATTGGAGTTCACATTGTGTCTAGCTTTTGTGTTATATCTACCAGTAGTTTCTATGTCCAGTACCCTAGCTTCGGAATGTAAAACAATTTTCAGTAATTGACTTGGAATAACATTGGGCTTCGAAGTGCAGTCGTTGTTAGTAATGCTTGAATAAAATTGCATCGCCGGTTTTTGAACTTAGTGATGTTTCTCGGATCTTCGGGCCGGAACGGTTGCCGTTCTGAAATTCAAATCGTATTATATTATTATAGAACGCGCTTCACATTTAGAACTGTTCGTAATACCTCCGCGTCAAACATGAATCTATTAAAGCCGTGGAAATGGTGTTTATGAGGTGGTTTCGAAAATGTTAGAACAGTAGCTACGGGCTCGACTTCGAGACGCAGAAATAGGCCCTCCATGCTCAAGCAGGCCTCAAATTCGATCTGGAGATAATTCTTACCTGCAAACCAATGTCTGCACCTTAGCGCCAGCTCAATTGGGCTGTAGTTGATCCCGTCCCAGTTTGTTTATTCTCTTGAGCTAATTGAGAAATTCGGTATTTGGTTAATTATTTCGATGTAGGCTTCCTTTCACATAAGATTTTTCGTGTACAACTCTCGGATCCGAAGCGGATTGGAAACAGTTAATGGACATATGTCCTGGAACCCATGGTAAAACTGACAGGTTCGAACATTTAATACTACAGTCTGATTAGGCGCCAATTGTTACGCCTGGGAACGTGGTGAACTAGTTTCTCTTCTTTTTATTCCACTGCACGGTGGTCTCTCTGAGAATCATTCATTAATCTACATCCCTCTGGGGCTATTCATATCCAGACAAAGGGAACAGGATGAGGGTTAGGTACAAGAAATGGCTTTGGTTGGTACAGAAGTGAACTGTGAATAAAAAGAGATGTTTGCAGTCAGCCATTCTCGTTTTTTCATCTTTCTTGAGAAAGAAGAGCCCATGAGGTCAAAAACAATATCAGTCCTTATCTTACATATCCTTATCAGTTCGGGCTTACGCCATCTCCACCTGAAACCACCTTTGTGCAGTTCCACCCTCCGTAGAGCTTTAGGTTGTCTTATGTTTTACCTCTTGCGTTAGAGGTATCACAATAAGTGACCTATTCGATTTTCCATTCTCCAGCGATTATTCATCTTTCCCAGAAATAGCAAGCGAGTAGCGAGTTAAAGATGATGAGCCAATCGATGAAAAACGAATCACGAATAAAGAAGAGCTTCTCATGATGCAGAAATAGTTCCCGCACTTCTGTGGAGTTCTCTAGCATTTGCCTATTTTCTTCCTCTTAACCATATCAATCGATTCAGATCACTTTCTTTCTTTCTAGTTCTTTCTGCGGTCTTCATTAACTGGAGATGTGCGCAGTTGCCCTACCTCTGTGTGCTACGGATACTGTACCCTTTTGTTCTGGTTGTAACGATAATGTAAGTGATCGATTTTTTCGTTTATTGTCGGTGAATATGTGGTAGCTCATGTCAGTCACTCACTGCACCCAGCTACCGCGTCTTAACACACAATAAGAAAATCCAATTTTAGACATTTGGAGATCAGGCATTGCTCCTCTCTTAGAATTCGATACGAATGTAGTCGTAGTAGGAATGGTATCATGCCCCAAGTCTTACTTGATCCTTTTACGTTTCAGTATGAAATTGTAAGGTTTTCTTATTTCGATTTCAGAATAGTTTGCTATCATGACATTAATTATTTATGATTAAAATATTCTTGTGCCGTGCGACGTTGTTAGGTGGAACAGTTCATCAAATCAACGGCCTAACGTTTCGATGCTTCGTCTTCCTTAGGCTTTACACAAGCGGATATGCAAATCCGCTGATCGTAGGCGACTGTCAGTAGCAAGAGTGAATGTCAGCAGCGACTAACTTTTTTATTCATCTCAAATATTGGGCGGAGGTGGTGAAGTGACATGTGACGTACTTCCCAAACGCATGGTCACGGGTTCCAATCCTGGATTGCTGTTCGTCTAGGCCAACCCACCTATCTTCCATCTCTCCCGGGTCAGATAGTTAAAACCATACTCGTCTGGAAGGATAAAAGGACTGACTTGCACTTCGGCTGGCCACCGCAAGCATTGAGTAGGCCACAGCAATCAGTACGCCTTTACGATTCTGAATGGTAGTCGAATGCGTGGGCGCCTCCTTTAGACGGGAATGATTAACGCCTCAAGAAAAGGAGCAAAAGCGTGGGCGAGTTTCCAACATTCACACGAGGTAATCATCACACCCATCCCGGTACTCCTACCCTCATAAATCTTAGTTAAAAACCACAACCCCAGGCTAAAATCGTATTAGACCGATGGCTTGTGCCCATCCTCCTCTTCGTCTCTGATTCAGTGCTATCATAACACGGATTAATACGTAGCACCGTGTTAACACTGTTATGTGTGCACCCATGCCTTCATAGCGCGCAATTGTGTGCGGCGAACGCGACACGCCGTTGGGGGAGAAGATACCAGGCCCGTTACAAGTTTGCATGCTATAGTGCTAATTATCCGTGGCTCAGCAAGGGATCGGTCTCCTATTACTTTTGTTCAGTATTTATTTATTTATTTATTTATTTATTATACACCCAGGGGTGCGCCATCGGCACCGGGAGAACTACTGTGATATGAAAATTTCAACAGAACGAAGGAACAGAACAAAAAAAAAAATAGAAAAGAATGGAAGAAAGCTCATTGGGAAAGAAAGAAATAGGCCACTAGCAGGGACCCTGCTCGATACAACGAAGAATAACTAGATTTATGAAAGCTACGACAACCAGTGTATAGGAGACAACCCGAAGACGAAGACTAATTAATAAAGCAACCCAAACGTAAAATGCCACGAAAGTAGACAAAACAGCTTGGGAAAACAGTAAGTAACAAACATCAGAAGTCAGGAATTCCAATCAACTCCATAAAATCAATCTTGGCCAGAGCACTTTTAAAGAGAGATGTACTTTTCTTCCCAAGGAGATCCATAGGTAACTTGTTGAGCCATTCAGCCGTTCTGTGGAAAAATGAATCCCTTAGGAGACTACTAACGGCGATCCGTGCATTACGTCTAGAACGGAACTTAGGTCTGTAACAGCATAGATTAAGAGAAGGTCTCCGGGTGGACCCCGGCTTGAAATACCAAAAGTAGGAAGAGGTTAAAAGCGTCTTACCTCTGAGGATCCTATAAGCGAGCACCAAATCTGCAAAAACACGCCTATAAAGAAGACTTTTCAGACCTAGCTCTCTTAGCCGAATACTGTAAGCCGGCATTGTCCTGGGATAACCAGGCTCAGGGAAAACTCGAAAATACACCAATCTAGTAAAAGTCATTTGCACTTTCTCCACTTTGGCAATAAGCTTCTTAGTACGCGGACTCCATATTTGGCTACAGTATTCAATGACCGGGAGAACATAGGCTTTATACAACTTTATCAACACAGCGAGATCAGAAGATTTTACCACCCTGAATAAGCCGTAAAGGCAATGGAACGCTTTAGTTACGATGTTATCAATATGTATATCCCACTTCAGGGAGTTTGAAATCGTAACACCAAGATCACGCGTATGAGATCGATAACAGGACGGTGGCACATTAGCTATTGAGGGAGCAACTAACCTATTACCAAATGACAGCATGCAAGTTTTATCAAAGTTGAGTTTCAGATTCATATTATCAGTCCATGTTGACATGGAATCAATCACTCGGTTGAGAATCCTCTCTGCCTCAACAAAGTTGCCCTTATCCGACCTAACAGTGACCTTAACATCATCTGCGAAAGCAAA